AGCTGTTTTAGTCTAAAGTCAGGCAGAGTTGTATCTTATAGACTATTTCAGAAATGCATAAACTTTTGTAAGCAACAGCTTATATACAGTGAGTTATGTTAATTTGATCCAAAGGTTATAAAAGCAGGATCACTGTGACCAAATTTCTTGGAAGTGAGGTAGAGGCAAGCATTAAAAAAACCTCATAAAACAGTCACAGAAGCCCTATATTTGCTTACCTGGCCTGATTTTTTCTATAGATATGGTTTCTTATTTGTTAAGCAAAACATTAATCTATTTACCCACTGGGTGTATAAAGAGCAAGGCAAATGGACATTTCCTTGCCAGTTTAAGTGTTTTGCACCTGATGCAATTGTTTTTAAATGAGTATTAGTCTAGATTCACTCAATTTCAGAACAAAAGATTGCAAAATTGTGACCGTAAGTAGAATAAACTGAGTTATGTCATCAAGGGTGGCCTTAGAGTCTATAAGAACCATAAGCACACATGAAAATGAAGGCCCCCAGAAACAAAGGTTTTCATTCCAACCTTTGGGCTCAGTGGCAGCAGGGGAAACTAGATTTTGGGCCCAACTGCCAGTAAAATGAGGAGAGGAAGGAATGTTACAAAAAAAAAAATCAAGGCCAAATAACTGAGGATTTACAGATTATACACCAGCAGAGCCATGTAATAAATGATGTAATAGTAGAATCACAGAAAACTGGGGTTGGAAGGGACCTCAGGAGGTCATCTAGTCCAACCCCCTTACTCAAAGCATCAATAAATGACTGCTTTCTACAACAAGTAGAAACCCACAAGAGGAGAAGCAAGTCTAGAACTAATTCTACGTAGCACTCAGGGCTTGGTTCAAAAGGCGTCTGTAGGTGAGCCACGTTCTAACAGTGACCATAAACAATGAACATCCCAGTGGGAAGGAATAAGGCAAAAACACCACATCAATATACAACTTTAGGAAGGGAAAGTACACAAAAAATGAGGACGGTAGTTAGAAGGAAGTTAAATGGAACAGCAGTCACAAATGTTGCAGGCAGCCTGGGAGTTGTTTGAAAACACCACATTAGAGGCTCAGAAAAAAAGTGTACACTGAAAATCAAAGGGGTACCAAGTGATCTGATAAAACCCTGCATGGTATAATAGCAGCACTAAGGAGGCCATCCAAGCTAAAAAAGGCATTCTTCAAAAAGGAAAAAAAAAGATATGGAAACCAGGAAAACTCTCAAACTCTGGCAGGTCAAACATAAAAGCAAACATTTTTTGATAAATCACAGAGAAGCTAAATTAATTTTGGGGAGGGAGGATTCTCATACAAGATCAACTCTCCCTAGTAGATGTGTCTGAAGAGTTGGATCACACTGAAGACAAGATAAGTTTTGGAACAAAATGATAACTTTAATACTATTAAAGTGGCCAGGACCAGGTAGAATACACCTGTGAGTTCTGAAGGAACTAAAAGGTGAAATGATAGAACTTTTGACAATAGTATGTAATCTGTTATTACAAATAAATAGTCTCTGTACTACATGACTGGTGAATTACCAACATAACACTCCTTTTCAGAAAGGGCTCCAGAGGTGATCCTGGGAACTACAGACAAGTGAGTCTCACCTTCCATCCTTGACAAGTTGGTAGAATCTATAATAAAGAATAAAATCATCAGTCACATGGACAAATCTGATCTGTTGGGGTAGAATCAGCACAATTTTTGTAAGGGACAACCTTGCCTCACCAACCTGCTGGAGTTCTTTGAGGCAGCTGTCAACAAGGTCCCTCATCAAAGGCTTTTTTAAAAACAACAACTGAGCTGCCATGGGATTGGAAGGAAAACACTTCCATGGATTGAGAGAGCTGGTTAAAAGATAGGAAGCAAAGGGTAGGGCTAAATGGCCACGTTTCAAGATGGAGAGAAGTAAACAAAGTGGTGTCCCACAAAGATCTATGCTGGGCCCTATTTTGTTCAACATTTTAATCAATGATTTGGAAATGGGAGTTCACACTGAACTCCACATTTGCAGATTATGATAAACTGCCAGGTAGTCAAATCCCAAGCTAATGAAGAGAAGCTGAGAAAGATCTCACCAAGATGAGTGGGCAAAAAAATGGCAGATTAAAACTTCAACCTCAACAAGTGCAAGGTAATGCACAATGGAAAACGTAAGCTCAATTATATGTACATGACTAGCTGTTAGGATTCAAGAGAAAGTCCTTGGAGTCATTGTAGATATTTGTCTAACATTAGCTCACTGTGCGGTGACAACCAAAAAAGCCACAAAAGCATTGGGCATCGTTAAGACAGGCACTGAAAACAAAACTGAGAACACTGTCATATTATTGTATAAATTCTTGGTATACCCACATCTTGAACACTATGTGTGGTTCTGGGCCCATCTGAAAAAGGATATAGAATTAGAAAAGGTACAGAGAAGGGCAGCCACAAATGAGGAGGTAGGGAGCAGTTGCCATACCAAGGGAGACTAAAAAGACCTGGCTCGTGAAGGGTATAGACCGTTATCCACCAGGTCCCAGAATACTACCATTACAGTGTACCCACTGAAATTCATGAGACACAGGTTTAAAACTTAACAATTTTTTTTTTGTTTTAAACACAGCCTGTAGTTAATTTGTGGAACTCATTGCTATAGGAGGTTGCAGAGGCAGATAAGATAGCCAGGTTCAAAAAAGGATTAGAACAGCGATGCTGGCTCATGAACGAGATACAGCCTGCAAAGCTCGTGCAAGTGGCCCATCACCAGGAAGTCAGTACAGGTAAATGCTCCTGCCACTCCTCCGTTCCTAAAGCATCCACTCCTGCCACTGTCAGAGATGGGATACTGGATCAGGTGGATCATTGGTCTGACTCAGTATGACACTTATGTTCTTTCTTATGCCGTTGTAAGAAGTCTTTAGGATTTGAGGTGAACACTTCAGAAAACCAAACTATGTTAAAATTTAACTCCTGCCCGTTTTATATTTAGAGAATGCAGAAAGACCAGACTAGACAACTACTTAAGACCAGGTTAGATGGTTACTTTACTTCCTAAAGCTCAAGGGACATTAGTTAAGACTGCAGGAATTCTTCACTCTGACAAATGTGTTCTACCAACAGCTCTAAGGTAATTGCATGAAAACCTCACAAGACTTCTAGTTCGTAGTACAGTTGATTTTCTGCTTTAAAATAAAGTGAAAAAAATCCAAAACAGAAGCTGTGTTTTATTATCAATATTTATTTTATTGGAATTTTCAAAGTCAGAAGAGAGCCATAGCACCTGGGGGCAAAGGTGCCCACCCACTGAATAAAAAGTATTGCAGGATAAAATACAGTTGGGGAAAAACTACAGCACCTCGAAAACCATGTCAGCCATTAGAGACTGAACATTCCCCCTCTCAGTTATAAGACAGCCGTCCAATTCTACATCATTTCAGAATTGTACAAGTGAAATACAGGCAGGATCAAAAAGACTGTTGAGTCACAACAGCCATACGTTCACTCTCCATCATGAATATGAAGCATATGTTACACAGTAAACTGAATGCTGGCATCCAGTATTGAGCATTCACTGCCCTCTCCAATTGAATAAATCAAAACAAGGGTAAACCAGAACATTCAGGATTGGAATGTGCATTTAATGGGAGAATAAAGCTTTTCTGAGGAGGAAACTGGATGAAAGCCCTTATTTTTGATCTTGGGGATAAAGAGCAGTACTTTCTGTAACAGGTGCTTACCCTTAAGACCCAACTGGGAATAGGTGAGCATTCCCAGATATGCCTGCAGTTCAGGAGCTTCCTTGTCTTGATCAGTCTTGTACTCAAAACAAGCCTGATAAACTGAGAATAGTACTGTACTGCCATATCATTTATGCCATTATTTTTTTTTAAGGGAGCCCAGTCTAATTTATCATCCACTTTCCATATTTTGTAAGCCTAATATATACTGATCTCCCAAATTTTCCTCCCATTCCTTTCTCTTCTCTGTCTTATTGCACGTTATCCACTGACAAAAGCTTTATAAGTTGCTATTTTTAATACAATTAAATACACTATTGGTCTCCAATGAACTCCTAAAAGACAGACAGGAGGTAGCCTTTGACATTAATTATTCTGGAGATAAAGGATGAAGACAATGGTATTAGCTGCAGCAGAAAGTACAATTTTTTCACAAATGTTCAGTATGGGCACCGACAAACGTGGAAAAAAAAAGACAAAACAAAAAAAACCATGCTTTACTGCAGCAGTGCGTTACTTGACCCAGCTCCGCAGCATCTGTATAAATTGGATGCTTTAGCAGGGCTTTTTGACGCTTTTATCTAACAGCTGATTGAATCAGCTATTAGATAAAAGTGCCAAAAATCACCACTAAAGCGCTTACTTTATACAGACACTGGGAAAGCCAGGTCCAACTAATACAATGCCTCTTTTGGGCATGCACTGGCCTCGGCATGGGAGCGCACTGAGTTTAAAGTGCTGGTTTTTCTTCCCCTCCTCACCCCCCATATGCAAGTAGCCTATATGTTTAGTGTGGAAAAGAGGAATTTGATACTAGTGTGGACATATATGAATATCCCCTTTGCTTTGTGGAGAAGATACTAAGCAGAGGTCCATGACAAGAGAGGAACTGTGTCTTCCAGTTTCTCTGGAAAACAGGCTACATTATTTTTAAACCAGGGTGGATAATATTTTCTCTGTTCATATTAGCTAGATCCGCTCACACAATGGTTCAAGAAAATAAAGAAGTTCCAGGATTAATAGCCTCCTAAAGTAAACAGTATGAACTGGAGCCAATTCTACAAAATGTGCACACAAATTAAGGACTCGAGCTGGAAGTGTCCTGCTGATGTATGCATCCAAGTGAAACAGGAGCCACCTTTGCAAAATATCTGCAACATTGGACAGGCATTTCTTCAAAATCAGATTTACCTCCTGTCTAATGTCCAATAACCAATAATAAATACTTACTTGCCTTGAAATAATTTATTTTCACCTGGAATTTTTTTTTTTTTTGGGGGGGGGGGGGCAGGGAAGTATTATTTTGGCAGGCTAGTGAAATGTGTTCCTCGCACACCAACATTATGTGATCAATGGACACAGGGGTATTGCACCTACTCTGCTAAAATTTTGCTGATAGCTATAGAAGGTCAGTTAACATCTGCAAATGGATGGACAAATGGAAAATAAATTTCCCCTATTGAGACAGAAAGGTTACAGGATACTAAAAATGTGATTAGGAAAATGGAACATGGTGGACCTACAGAAATATTTAACATAATTACAACAAGTCTTCAAAAACAACAAAAACAAAGACCACAACAATATGCTTAAATTCAATTTGGAATGGCAAGTGCATAAAGAACTTTAGGGGAAAATTAGTTGTACCATTATATATAATTAAAACCGGTGGTTTACGAATCATTTTACAGGACACACTTCACTTTACAAAACTGTGTTTTAACTTAGAAGGCTCCTCCTAAATAAGGAAGGTCAAAACCAGTCTGGTTTTAAAGGCAGGTTTTTATCAAGGCTAAAACAACTCAAGAAAAATTTGGCTTTGGCTGTATGCTTGAATTAAATGACATCTTGTAATATTGTCAACAGTCTAATCTTCCTGGGGTAGCATGCACTGATGGTAAGTTGTGGCTAAAGTACTGTTCTACTCTGAGAAGTGATTTTGAAAATGGCACTGCACTCTTTAGATCGATTTTCTCTAGGCAGAAATCAGCTCTGACATTTCTGATCACAAGTTCCTACTATTTTTTAGTCCTGTTAGCAAGCAAGCAAGCAAGCAAGCAAGCAAGCAATTCCTTCTTGTGCAACCAGGCTGCCTACTAGGTTCCTATCACCTTCGTTTCTGAAACGATGGAAAACAGGTGAGCTGCACAGGTGTCACCAAGATAGTAAATGCTCCTAAAGAACTTTTATTATTGGCAATGTAAAAGGAAAAAAAACAAACAAATTTAATTCAGATCCCAAACTGAATTTGCAGGACTAGCAAACAGAAAAATGTAACGGTTTCATATAAACTTAATGCATATGATAAGGAAGCTATAATTATACACAAAACCATACCTCTATAGAATTGGTTTGCAGAGCAGAACCATAATTTGGGTTAAATCTCACCATATATAGGACCATTTCCTTCTTGTATTCAGAGAAAGCTTTCAGCCATTCATGGGCAAGCAGAAGTGTTCTAAGGGTCCTAAAAATCACAAATACCTATGTGTACATAATATTCTCCAAACCACACATCCATAGTCTAGACAGGGTCAATCTATACTCTGTTATAGATGAAACCTGTAACTTTTGCCTGAAGAAATTAACTACACAGCTTATTTTAGTGTATGCTTGCAATAGTCTGTAAGATGAAAACACTGCAGTATATTACAGCAAGTGTTACCAGGGACAATTTTCAAAAATCAGTGAAAAAAAACAGTTAAAAACATCTATATGATATATCTGATCCAAAATCCATTCTTTCTAAAATATATAAAGTGCCAAAATAAAGATTTACATAACAGGCGATTAGGGCCTGTTTAGCATCACTGAATAAATAACACCGTTAAAAACAATCTAAATACATATTTACAATCATAATCCAAGGAGGCTGATACCTTTTAAAAGCAGAGGAAAATCAAACAGCATTGGATGAGGCGGCTGAAATAAATCCCTACATGACCAGAGTTTGTGTAGGAGCTTGGTTATAAATCCCATAGATATTCAACAGCAGAATAATACTTGGCATTTATATATCACCTTGACTGAGAATTTCAGTGCTTTGCTAACCATTTTTATCAATGCCCAAATATTAGACTGCTCACTTTGTACCAAAGAAAAATGAAGTACAGAAAAGCAAACTGGTTTACACAACTTCACAGAGCAAGAGCTCGGAAGAGAACTAAGGAATCCTGACTGCTAATACTGTCTCTCTACTATGTAAAAAGGTAAGATGCACAATGGACTAGAAATTAAAACCAAACACAGACAGTGTTTCTATGTATGCTGGCAGAATCCCTCCAAATATGGGAATTGTCCAGGATATCCTACAATTTACAATTCAACCCCTCCAAACCAGGGAGTTTGACTTTTAAATCTCGGTTTTTCACACTTGGCAAAAACTATTTAACTATATGGCTCTCAAACCATGAGCAGGTTCACAGCATCTCCTGCCCCACCTTAATTCCTAATAAACCCAATCTGAATGATTTCCTATAGTGCTGTTTCAGTTATCTTTCCTTGTCATCAGCACTAACCACACAGTTCTTCCCTTTGTTGTATCCTCAAGTTTTGAGAACCCAGAAGATCACCAAGACTTCACTATGTAAAAGCACAGGGCACTTGTTAAACATTCAGAAAAATACTGCATGCAGATCAATGATAATCTTGAAAAGAAGTGTGCACAAATTAATGTACAGAGACATTTAAAATTGTACAATAATGTGTCATTTTACAATACAGGGGAGGATAACTAGGTCTCACCTCTATAACCACAGAGTAATTAGACACAATGACTGCAGCGTGTTCAGCGTTATCAATTTAGAAAATAAATTACTGTATGTATTTTTCATACCTTTATAAATACTTCAGCAACTTCACATGTAATTCCTAAGGAAACTTAAAAGAAAACAAACATATACTGTTTTTTTACATTTTGCATGCATCTACATGAATGCTACTGTGCAGCTGTTACTGTGCAGTAGCATATTAGCACATTAGTTGGTGTTGTGACGTGCTACTGCACAGTATTATTCAGCTACTGCACAGTCAGTGTCTCATGTAGATGTGCCCTTCTAGGCTTTGCAGGCTCTGTCCATTCAGTCTCCTTACAACTCTGGCTTCCTGAATTCCTGCAGGCAACAAATCTGGACAAATGACTCCTTTCCCCCTTCCCAGGGCATTGTTCTTTTTTGACAGAAAGAAAGAAGACATCAAGATAGAGGAAACACCAGCATTGTTTCCCAGATTTGGGTACCTGCTGGCTTTCATGGCACAATCAGACCTGATCACTTAAGATAACTAGAGATCACTGATGAGAGCCTTCAGCAGTCTGTCACCTGTAAATGACTGTTCCATTAGCAAACTAAAAGTTTTAAAAAGTTGTAACAACATGAAGGCATGGAGAACATATATGACCAGGTCACATATTCAACATCATGAAGGGAACCAATTAATAATAGGAAGAAAAATATGGGTTAGAATATGGGCCCAACAAGTTTACTAGGGACATAGCTAGGAGAAATAGAAAATAGCTATGAAGTCACCTTCAAAATGATTCTGTTCTGTGTCTGTGACTGCTAAAAGCATTAATTTTAGCTGGTCTTTTGGAATTACAGTTGAACCTACAACCATATTGAACTTTGCAATTTTTTTTTGTAAGTTCCAGTGCCACTGTGAAGGCTGTTAGTTGGAATGCTAACTACCATGAATACCCAGGAAACAATTACTATACAGGTAACAATCATGGAACTTTAGAGACATTAAAACTATTATATACAAAGTATCTATACAAAAATTGCAATTGTGACCAACCTTCCTATCCATAAAATGGGGTTATTTCAGACTAGAGATGTAATATGCTTACATCCTAAATGTGGAAAATAAATTACCACGCTAATGGTAAAAGCATGACCTCAAAGAGACACCACACTCTATATAGTGACTGTCACTTCAGGATTATTAATGTCTTGCCCTTGACAACCAATATATCCCAAATTAATTGGACAAGTGTAGGCAGATGGTAACTGAGTAGTTATTGGATATATGTTATATCACATGTTACAAAGTGCAATGCAATACTTGGTCAGCATGAAAATTGGCTTCTATACTCCCATCCACAGAGGATACAGCAGCTGTGATAAACTATTTTCTGTCCTTGTGTTCGCTCATTCCTTGTTTGAGCTATAGTTCTTTTGGATTGTTGCACATGTGAGCTCCAAATCCTCAGGATACCTCATCTCCAGCTCAGTGTTTGCTAGGTAGTGCATGCCTGTAAACTCTGAAAAATAACGGCCAATATCAGGGTGAGGGATTTCATGAGGCTCTGTATTATATTCCAGGTTCTCTGCAGTGAAAGAAAAGCAGAAATTAACACCACATGAATTTGCTGAAATGAAAAGGCTACTTGTTTCTGCTTCTGTTTCATCATCCATTAAATCCTGAAGCTCTAAGAACAGCTACAATAGCTGACCCTTGAAACTAAAAACAAAGAAAGAATGAGTGCAAATTAATGCAGCTAATCTCTGGGGTCTCATCCATTTGGTTCTCAACAGCTGTACTTTAGTTTTGATACCACTGATAAGCAACTGTGCCTAAGAACAGTGCTATCTAGAATTATGGCAGAGCATTGCAATGCTGACTGGCTCTTGCTCTGCTGTCATTTATGGGTAGGAACCTACCAAATTCACAGCGGGAGTGGAGCACGCAACAGCTCCTTTAATCTTGGAGATTCCCCTGTGTGTGTCGTCCCCCACCTCCCGGCATGTTGCTGACTGGCCAGGAAGCAAAACGCTGTATTTAAAGCCATGGTTTTTGCCTCCCCATTGATCAGGAGTGAGCGCACACCCCAGTCCCACCGTGAATTTGGTAGGTCCTTATTTATAGGTGTCACTTTTCCAGACAAAAAAAGGACAAGTTCACCATCCAGGTTCAAAGTAGAGAGAGAAGGACATCTAGAAGTTAAATCCCAATCCTGTAAGTACTCCAGGCAAGGAGAAGCTACAGAACTGGGCCCTGACCCCCACGGACAACAGACCATTCCCAAGAGGGGTGCTTACATACTGCAAAACTACCTGAGGGTCAGAGCAGCAGCCAAATGTATTAAAACTGCAGAAGGAAGAACATGAAGTTGCACTCTGAAGCCTTTGATGTACACAGCGAGTTTTTGAGGTAAGTGTAGCAGGCCAAAATTAACTTTTAAATATAAATTTCTCAGAATAAGCATGCAGTAAACAAGTGTTCACTCTGTACCATGATGTACCAAAAATATTGCACCAGACCTTTTTCTCTTGGTAAAAATTACCTGTTAGCCACTGCATACAACCAGGTTAAATTAAAAAAAAAGAGAAACAACAGTGCTATACTTAGAAGATGAACCAATGTCTCTGACTTTGCTTTGTTAGATGAAAAGCTCTCATTATTTGTGTAATGCAGCACTGCTGTGTAGTGACCAATTAGTGCACACTCCCTGTGGAGGGCTAGAGTGCTGCAACTTATACTTGGCACTAACTGGTATTGGGAGTAGTGGGGGAGAACAGGGATACAAACTGCACACAGCACTGGATTTGGCTGATCTGTAATGCTTCCTTGGGACACAGACAATCACTTGGGAAATGAGCCATTCATCCCCCAAGGCAAATCCAATTTACAAAAGTGAGCATTTAAAAGTAAAATTAACCTATTTGCTTTACTTATTGCAAGGCATTACTTTCCATTACTTTTTATACCCTGCCTCACCAAAGAGCTAAGGGTGTGGCATGGTGGTTTTGTTACACTGCCTAGTAAAGTATCTTTTTCTTTTACTAAGCAACTTCAGTTTAAGTGGGAGTCTGACGAAGGGAGTTTGGCTGTGCAGTAAGCAATGCAGAACCTCAAACCTCAGGGAATAAAATGACGGTGATTTGAGGGATGGGGAAGAAAAACAAAGCTAGAAAGCTCACTACTAGACAGGGTGGTTAAGAAAGAATACTAACCAACAATTTTAGAGAAATGACATTTTGCCTGCCCTGGCACAAAGTAAATAAAGTGGAAGATAAGAGGGAAGAACTGGGATAACAGAAAATAGCACGTTACAGAGCAGGTGTTTTGAAACCAGCAACTAAACTGATAATTCACAAGCAGCACAGCAAAACCCACTCAAAATTACTGATAGCATGTTTAGAAGTTATTTTTGGTCTGATCTGTTAACATTTTAAAAAACAAGATTGTTTGTTATTCTCGCTGTAGAAACCCACTTTCCCCCCAACCCCCTTCCCTCTCCAGAGCAGAAATTTGAAAGCTATGCAAAAAAATCTGCATGTAGTTTGAAAAAAGCAGTTCAGGACAATCAGGCCCAGAGGAAGTAGGTAATTGCAAGAAAGGACAAAATTACCTTGCAACAAATTCGATTCTGAGCTCAGAAATTAAAAAAACAGAACAAAACCAGAATGTTGTGAAGACTGCCCAGATTGCAGAGTAGCTAGGGGAACCTGGGCGCTGGAATCCATATTATAGCTGTGGATATATTTTCTGATGCATGTATAGATTGCTCAATGCAAAGTAAAATACTTGGGAGATCAAGAACTCCAAATCTCCTTGCATTTTACACCTACTGACCTTTAAAATTGAGAAAGATAACTTTTTTTAAAGTTACTTAACATTTGCTTTCACATATGTTACAAAATTATGTTAGACAGCACCCTCTAGTGAAAGAGCCGAATCATATTTAGTCAAAATAATATTGCTTGTCAAGTTTCATATGCAGTTTTTAAAGTAAAAGAAAAAAACCCAGAATCAATCTTCAGAATAGCCCTAGGATGCAGACACTGAATCTCTACTGAACAGATAGAAAATGGAGACGAAGTCAGCCACAGAAGATGAGAGGAATTTAGTGTCAAAGGAAAGATTATAATTCAGAAATAGGAGATAGGACCTTCTGCCTTCTGACTATCAGAAAATTTCCTTTCTTAGTTCACTGCATTAGAGAACTGCTGAACAAGTTCAACACAAGTCAGTGTGCAGGAAAATGAATAACTCCATTATATGATTATTCCTATCGGTGTTTTTTCCAATTCCTTTTATAAGCAACACAAACAATATACAAAGTCAGGAAATTCAATGATAAGGATGGCACTTCATTTTTCTCTTATTGTACCTATGGAGTGAAATCCATGATATGCAATTAGACCTTGTTAAAGGTTGTTTATAGGTTCACAACTCTACTGATGGTCTTTCAGACTACAGTCAAAAATTGAACCTACTCCCCTAAATGTAGCAAAAGTTTACATGGTAAAAAGTTGACTGCTAATATTTTTACAGTGCTGTGGGCTATACTCGAGTTGGCTTTTGAATTTACTCTTGATAGCACCGTTCTCACTAAGGAATTATGTGGACGCCCCAGAAGTGAGGTAGGTCATTTTAAGATCTAATTATCAGTTTCATTCCTGCTTCAATCTTGAGCAGTTAATGTAATAATAATGGACTGCAGGTTCTCGACCACCTGGGCGAGAGCAATCATCGCCTACTAGAATTCACCATCCAGTGCAGGGTGTCAAAGCCTGCAGCAAGGCAGCAGCCCTGGACTTCAGGGGGCGGATTTCAATGAGGTAAGGAGACTAGTCAGGGAGGCACTGAGGTCCCAGAGGGGAGGGGAGTTGGGAGTCCAGGAAGAGTGGTTGTTCCTTAAGGAGACGATTCTCCAAGTCGAAATGGTGACAATCCCAACATGGATCAAAGGGGGCAAGAGTGCTCAAAAGCCCTCATGACTCATCAAAAGCATCCAGGAACGTCTCAAAAGCTAAAAAGGAGGCATACACCCAATGGAAGGGAGGGGCCATCACCAAGGAGGACTATACCTCCATTGCACAAGACTGCAGGGGGGCTGTTAGGAAGGCTAAGGTGGAGATAGAACTGGGACTAGCATCCTGGATCAAGGACAACAAGAAGTCCTTTTTTAAATACGTAGGGGGTAAAAAGAAGGTACTGGGTAATGTAGGGCCTCTGCAGGATACGCTAGGAAATCTGGTAGTCACACCAGATGACAAAGCTAATCTCTTTAACAATTTCTTTGCCTTCATCTTTTTGAGCAGGGACTGGGGCATCCCCCCCACTGGGATCCCCGACAGACCCAGGGGAGGCGCAGCCAGACCCGGGGTCAGTGAGGACCTAGTTAGGGAACTTCTGGTGGGACTAGATGTATTCAAATCAGCAGGTCCTAACGATCTCCACCCCAGAGTGCTGAGGGAATTAGCAGAGGTCATTGCCGGACCCCTGGCACAGCTTTACTAGCACTCATGGTGCTCTGGTGAGGTGCCAGATGACTGGAAAAGGGCCCATGTGTTCCCCATTTTCAAAAAGGGAAGAAGGAGGACCCACGAAACTATAGGCCTGTTAGTCTTACTTCGGTCCTGGGGAAGCTCTTTGAGAAAATTATCCAGGAGCACATCTGCAAGGGACCAGCAGGGGAGATCATGCTTGAGGGCAACCAACATGGGTTCATTCGAGGCAGGCCCTGTCAGACCAACCTGGTGGCCTTCTACGACCAGGTCACAAAATCCCTGGACACAGGTGTTGCAGTGGATGTACTCTTTCTGGACTTTAGGAAGGCCTTTGACACTGTCTCACCCCATTTTCATCAAAAAAATTAGGCGACTGGGGTGTCAATCCCTACACAGTCAGATGGGTCGCAAATTGGCTCGAGGGCCGCACCCGGAGGGTGGTAGTAGACGGGTCTTTTTCGACCTGGAGGGATGTGGGCAGTGGGGTGCCCCAGGGCTCAGTCCTTGGACCCACGCTGTTCAACATCTTCATCAGCGACTTGGATGAGGGGGTGAAAAGCACCCTGTTCAAATTCGCGGATGACATTAAAATGTGGGGAGAATTGGGCATGCTGGAGGAGAGGGACAAGTCTAGACAGGTTACAGGGGAGGACGGATGAGAACAGGATGAGTTTCAATACTGACAAGTGCAAGGTACTGCACCTAGGGAGGAAGAACCAGCAGCATACCTACAGGCTGGGGAACTCCCTTCTAGTCAGCACAAAGGCAGAAAAGGATCTTGGTGTCATTATTGATTCCAAAATGACTGCGTCCCAATGTGGGGACACGGTCAGGAAGGCCAACCGCACCGTGTCATGCATCCACAGATGCATCTTGAGCAGGTCCAAGGAGGTGATCCTCCCCCTCTATGCGACACTGGTCAGGCCGCAGTTGGAGTACTGTGTCCAGTTCTGGACGCCGCACTTCAGGAGGGATGTGGACAGCATCGAGGGGGTCCAGAGGAGGGCCACTTGCATGATCAGGGGCAGCAAGACAGGCCCTACAAGCGGAGGCTATGGGACCTGAACCTGTTCAGCCTCCACAAGAGAAGGCTGAGGGGGGGATCTGGTGGCCGTCTACAAACTGGCCAAGGGGGACCAGTGGGCTATGGGAGAGTCCCTGTTCCCCCGAGCACTACCGGGAGTAACGAGGAATAATGGCCATAAGTTGACTGAGAGTTGATTCAGGCTAGATATCAAGAGGCAGACTTCAGTCAGGGCAACTAGGATCTGGAACCAACTTCCAAGGGAAGTGGTGCTCCCTCTTACCCTGAGGGTCTTCAAAAGGAGGCTAGATAATCACCTAGCCAGGGTTGTTTGACCCCAGCATCCTTTCCTGCCCATGGTAGGGGGTCAGATTTGATGATCTGCTCAAGTCCCTTTCGACCCTACCAACTATAAAACTATGAAAAACAAATAATACTGCAATATTAATTTTCTTCAAGCATTAAGAGCAGCAAGATAGTTCCCACATGTGCTAAGCAAATAAAAGTACACGTCAGTTTCTCAAGCTGACTTAGTTTCTCACCCTGAGCAGCATATCTGCAGGATCCATCCTCCACCAGCACATTGTAGAAAGGCTGATGGGGACCATGAGGCAGGCTATGAACATTCATATTTCTAATCCATTCATGTCCCATCATGCAGGTGGGATCCCAGCCATATATCACACAGTTGTAGCCATATCTATATAAAAAAAAAGAAGAGTTGCACAGCTAGGTATTATTCCTGAGAGACCAGGACAGACACTAAACAATATGGAAGTGACAAATTATGTCATCCAGTGCTGGCTCATATAGAAGATTTAAAAAAACTGTAGCAAAATTCATATTCTTCACCAGGTTTGGTTCCTCAGCCCTCTCTGAAGATGGGCAAACAGCTGAGCAGCTTGTCCTTGATTTGGCATCTTGCTGTGAATTAAGCAGGTCACAAACAATTCAGATATGCAGAATCTTGGTTCTATATACTGTTATCAGTTACCCTGTTAACTGAATTGGTAGATAATCTGCCAGACAATCCTGTTGACAGTACACATAGACATCAATATGCTGTCACATGATGGAATTGGGGGGGGGGGGGGTGTTAAAAGGGAATAACACACAAGAATGGCCAGACTGAAAGAATATTACATTTGCTAAATTAAGTATTCCATTAAGAAAAACTAGTTCTTATCCAAACTTATTTCAACATTGGTGTATACAATCATATGGTCACATATTTCTTTTTCTATAGGGTACCCTTCTCCTACAATACCACTGTCACTAAACACCTTGGGCCTGCATATCAAGAGCCCCCTTTACCTCATAACCAATTCAGTCTTAGAGCAGGTACAGACTGTGCAATGAATGATGTGGGACTTCTTGGGTGGGGAGAAAGGACACCATAAATTGTAATTTTATCATATGTTACTCAGTTACTTTATAAAGTAACTTAGTTATTTGTTACCTAGTTGCTTATTTGTAACTAAGTATTTGTAACTAGGTTACTTATTTGTAACTTCAATGCATACAATACAAAGTAACTAGGATTGTAATACATATACACTTGGGCAGCTGGGGGAGAATTAAGGATGCAAAGACAACCTTAACTCTGGCATTTCCCAACTTCTGAGTGCTCAACTTTGCAGCCTTAAAGCAGTGTTTATTCAGTGTGGGTATTTTGGTGTAATCACGTATTAAGACCACAACTGACTGCTGAAGATTAAGAATTGCAGTGTTCCACCTTAAACTTGGAGAGAGCCACAGAAAAGTCATTTTGAATATGCTAGTATGTAATGGAGCTGTTATGATGCTAATTTTTAATCCTATCCATTTGGCAAGTACAGACTTCTTGTGACAGAGATCCTTTAATAATATTCCCTGAAATATGACAGCAGATTGGAACAGTCCTCTTCTATTTTAATTTAGTGGTCAAAGAACAGATTTTTTTTAAATAAAGAAAACACTTGTTTCCTTGACTGACCCAAACAGCTTTATTCTCCCTTCAAAGGCTGAAAAAGCAATATTACCACTGCTCCTGCCTCACCCCCATCCCTTAAATCACTTCAGAGATGCTGACACCTCTCTTTTTACTCCAAGGCTGAACAGCCCCAGCCTATCCTTCACTATGGTACTCAGCACCTAGAACAGAACAGAAAAGCATAGCTTGCAGTAACCCACAACTCTTGCAACACAGAGCTCCGTCAGCTGCACATGATTATGAAACAGCTTGTTGGTCAAAGATAAGTAGTACAACCCCCAATTAAAACAGTATCTTCTGAAGACTTAGGCTTCACTGATTAGACATTCTTGCAACCTAAGCTTGTAATAGCCTCACATGCTAGCCCTAATTCTGGGGTAACAAATAGCTTGCTATCAAATAGCTTGAGCTGATTTACACAATTGTAATGGTTTTGTCAAGTTTCTTTCAAACAAACTGAATCCTCACATGATTCAAGTACAAATATGATGAACTAGGGAAGACTACAAGCAGTATATAGCACCAATTACAGTGAATTTGAAAACCAAAGCAAATAATCAAAACAAAATGTTAATAGCTGGAAAGGAGAAAACTTGTGTTTTCCCAAAATTGTGGGGGGGAAGTCGGGGAGAAGAAGATATGCAAACTTATTTGCTACAATCAATCCCAGTCAAATACTGGAAGAGAATCTTCTGTCAAGCTATTAAAATGCAAACTGACCTTTAGCTTACACTGATTTTTAACAGGGTGACCATTCTGTTGGGTGGGCAATTTTGTTAATTCCTGACATTGTGATTATAGCATTCTGGTAAAGATCCCAGAAACAAAGTCTTTTTTTTCTTTAATATAAGTAGGCTGGCAGAATCCAATTTTTATTTTATTTTTTTAATTTCGATGGCCAAAATTGACGTATATTTATAAGCATTTCTTTCAATGTTTATCAACTTAAATTTTCAGGACTGCACAGAATTAGGACTGTGGAGGACAGACAATTGAGTAATAATTGTACGCTGTTAAAAGCCTTATATGCCTCACATGTTAAAATATATAAAAGTAAACACCCATAAATCAGTAAATCATACCTGCTTTAAATCATTGTTTATTCATCAAGAAAGAGCCAGGCAGGCAGGGACCAGAAAAGAAGGGCTTCCAGAGGCAGGAAGCAGCTCCCTGCTTCCCATGGCCCCTTAGGGAGTGAGGCCCACCTGGCGGGCACTAATGGAGGAGTGGCCCGGCTCCAATGGCCATGGCCTCCCGCCCTTCTGGCTGGCCCCATGGACATCCCCATGTACCCTTCCCCAAGCATGTAGGGGCTGGGCCAGAGCTCTGGGAATATGGGGACAGGCAGTGTGAATGATTGGGGCAGGATGTGTGGGGGTGCCCCCAAGGCCCAGCCACTGCCCCTAAACCACCCAGAGGGGCAGGAGGCCAAGGACATCAAGGAGTCAGCCTGCCCCTCTGCTGGTGCCCACCAAGCAGGGCTTGCCCCATAAAGGACTGCAAGGAGCAGGGAGCTGCTTCCCACCCCAGGCTCGGCAGCCACCGCCCTTCCCGTGTTCCCAGAGCTCCTGCACAGCTCAACTCCTGCATAACTGGGGAAACGGCTAAACTCCCACTGAGCCCCATCATGCAGGGGAAGGGCCAAGTTCAGCAGCTCAGCAGGAGTTTGGCACCCAATTCCCGGCTGGGATCTAGGCAGAGTGAGTAGCCAACAGCACCAACCTCCTGGCTGCCAACAGCCCTGTTCCTTCATCCTCCTCTCCCAGCACAGCCCCACCTTCTGCAGCAGCATCCCAAGCCACTGCCAGAGGAGCAGTGCACAAGTGGCACAGCCAGGGTTCCCCTTATCCCACCTGCAGCTTCCACTGCGTGCGTGCATACGCCCCCCCGTCATGGATTTCTTTACCCCAGTCCCAGATTTTATTTTTTTTCCTACACACACACACACACACACCCCTTCTATAAAATTTTGATTATTACAGACAGAAATATTTTTCCATCTGTCTGTAAGTGACAGGCGAAATTGATGTTTATCAAGAAAAAAAAAGTAATCCTACCAAGCCTATTGATAAGTGATTAATTGTACGGCAGCAACTGAAAGGTCAAAATTCCCCTCATGACCTTAAATCTGGTCTTGATGCACTTAGTGAATTAGAAGGACAGGTGAAGAAGCATCTCTCTACCAGTATGCCAGGCATCAAGATTCAGATGGGTCAGCTTAATGATTCTTTCACTGAGTAAAGCAGAGGCGGGCAATTATTTCAGGTGGAGGGCCACTTACCCAGTTTTGGCAGGCTGTCGAGGTCCACGTGGGTAGCCCTTCCCCTTGACAGGTGCCCTACCTCCAGTCACCATCTTGGGACAAGTGTGTCCCAATGTTTTGGGACCAATGTCCCAGGGCCAGCACTGGTGGGGCCCAAAGCAGGGCACAGGCTGGCAGGGGTCTGTGGAGCTGGGCTGGGCTGCACCAGCAAGGAGAGGGGGGAGCTGGCATGGCTCCATAGAGCCCCTGCCGGCCAGGACCCCGCGCTCCTGCCACTCTGCTCTGGGCCCCACCGGCACTGGCCCTGGGGCACCGGTGAGGGCCCCGTGTTCCTGCACCTGCTCATTCCCAGTGCCCCCCAGCCTTGCGGTACAGGAGCGGGGCTGTGCACAGCCCTGACCCCCTGCTCGCCAGCAGGGAAGAAGCCGGTGCTGAGCATGGGAAAAAGCGACCCCTCACCCACCCCATGGCTGGCACTCCCTGCTGCAGCCACTCGCAGCCCGTCTGGGGCTGCCTGTGCCTGCTCCGGACAGCCACATGCGGGCCGAGTAGCTGCAGTGTGGGGCGCCGGCCACGGGGTGGGCAAGGGGCCGCTTTCTCCCCACCTGCACTCAGCTTTTCCCCAGGCCACTTCCCTGCCCGGGGTCCTCCCCTGCCCTTCACCCCACCCCTTCCCTCTTACCTGAGGTTCCAGCGTGGGGCAACCACATGCCCCCAGGCCAGAAGACCCTGCTGGGGCTTTTGGCTGGTGGGGCGGGGCCAGGTGGATCCTGCTTTTGTGGGAGCCTGCCGGCTTTCCCCTGGGTCCTACTGCCCTTGGTTCCTATCATTTTTTGACAGGAACCAAGGGCAGACAGATATTAAATTTTCTTAATTTTTTAGGGTCCCTGCGGGCCGGATACAATGGCCTCACGGGCTGGATTTGGCCCATGGACCGTACTTTGCCCACCCCTGGAGTAAAGCAAGGGCAATACATTCGATACTTCAGAAGACAATGAAAGCAAGTTTCAGCTCTCCAGAGTAATACACAATGTATATGCATAAGGCTAGCACATTCTTCCTCAGATGCTTTACAAAGTCTTCCTCTTCCACGTAGTAAATATGCAACTCAGTTAGAATAAGGAAAAAAAATCCATTCCATATGCACTCCACAGAACAAATTTCCAGTGCAGCCTGCAAGTAGTGTAAAAGATTTAAGGGGCACTCACCTCTTGTGTTTCATTATCAACCCAATGGAAAAGCAGACATCTTTGTGCTTCTCATCAGAACGGTGCTTCACCTCTGGCCCCACTTCCTCTTTCCGGCGTTCAATATGTTCCAGGGTATGTTGAACCAAATATCCTACTGCTCCATGCTGAGATGGGTCCAAGGCCTGAATATGCTGCAGGATGTCCAGAACCTTCAGTATAGAAAGATTAAAAAAATCGATTTTGAACAGCTTTTTTGAAGTAACTTGTTGTGTTAAAAACAGTTTCCTTCATAGGATAAAAGTGTACAGCTGTAAAGGTTCACTATACTTTCATAGATTCATAGATTGTAAGACTGGAAGGGACCTTGGAAGATCATTGGGTCCAGCCTCCTACACCAAGCAGGAAAGGGAACTGGGAGTCAGGTGACCCCAGCAAGGTGACTGGCCAGTGTCCTCTTGAAGATTTCCAGGGTAAGCAATTGCATCACCTCTTGACGGAGCTTATTCCATAGTCTGGACACCCTGACTGTGAAAAGGTTTTTCCTAATGTTGAGCCTGAATCACTCTCTCAGGAGTCTGTGGCTATTACTCCTGGTTTTCCCCAAGGGTGCCCTGGTGAACAGTTGCTCACCGAGCCCTTGATGTACTCCCCTAGTGTAGCAGTAAGCTGCTACCAGGTCCCCTCTCAGCCTTCTTTTCCTCATGCTGGAGTCCCAGATCCCTCAGCCTTTCCACACACGGCTTGCTTTTTAATACTCTGATCGTATAGATGGCTCTTCTTTGGACTCTTGTAAGTTTGTCCACGTCCTTGTTAAAGTGTGGTGCCCAGAACCAGATGCAGTACTCCAGCTGCAGTCTCACCAGTGCTGAGTAGAGCGGAAGAATCACCTCCTTAGTTTTACTGGAAATGCATCGATTCATGCGTGCCAGAGTATTATTTGCTCTACTGACTACAGCATTGCACTACTGGCTCATATTTATACTGTGGTCTATTATTACCCCCAGGTCCCTTTCATTCATGATGCTAGTCAGTTTGGTGCCACCAAGCCTGTAGGCGTGTTGGGGGTTGCTCGTCCTGAGGTGGAGCACTTTACATTTCTCAATGTTGAACTTTATCAGGTTCCAATCCCCACAACTAACTAGCCCGTCTAGGTCTGCCTGTAACTGTAACCTGTCTTCAAGTGTGACCACGCCTCCTGATAACTTGGTGTTGTCCGCGAACTTGTCCAGTGGGCTCTTCACCACCCCCCATCCAAATTGTTAATAAAGATGTTGAAAAGTACTGGACTAAGTACTGACCCCTGCGGGATACTGCTGCCCACTTCTCATTAGGATGACACAAATCTGTTCATTACAACTCTCTGGGTTCCATCCTGCAGCCAGTTTCTCACCCACCTGACTGTCTTGGAGTTAAGCCCATAATCCTCCCATTTTCTCACAAGGACATTGTGGGATACTAGATCAAAGGCCTTTTGGAAGTCTACGTATACAATGTCAACCTGCTCTCTCATGTCCAGGTGGCAAGTTACCTGGTCATAGAAGGAGATGAGGTTGGTAAGAGAAGACCTGCCTGCAATGAAGTCATGCTGGCTGTCATTAAGAATCTTACCTTCTGCAACCTTATTGCAGATAGACACTTTGGTGAACTTTTCTAAGATTTTCCCTAGGATGGAAGTTAGGCTGACTGACCTAGAGTTATCTGGGTCCTCCCTCCTGCCCTTCTTGTGGATGGGTACAACAATGGCCCTCTTCTAGTCCTCAGGGACTTCTCCAGAGCGCTATGAGTTGTGGAAGAGTTTCGCCAGGGGTTCCTCAATGACTTCAGCCAGTTCCTTCAGCACTTTTGGATGAAGATCATCCAGTCCTGATGACCTGTATACATCTAATGTTTTTATTTGTCATACACCAATTCTATGGCAATAGTAGGAAAGCAATTATTCCTACCGTGCTCATTCTCTACTCTACCTGGCATGATTTTCCCCTTGGTCCGGTGAAAGACAGAGGCAAAGTAGTCATTCAGGAGTTCAACTTTCTCCTGGGTACCAGTAACAAAATCTCCTAAGTTGTTGAGCAATGGCCCCACACTCTCATTTGTTTTCCTTCTGTTTCCTATGTACCTAAAGAAAGACTTCTAGTTGTCCTTGACTCCCATTGCTAATCTAAGTTTGGTTGCCACTTTAGCCTGTCTTATCTGTTCCCTGCAAATGCAGGCTGTCGTTGAATAGTCCTCCTTGGGGCCTGCCCCGAGCTTCCATTGTTTATAAGCCTCTTTCTTCTTTCTCAAGAGAACCGTGATTTCCCTGTTTAGCCAAGATGGCTTCCCAGCCCTTCTGTTACCTTTTCTCCACATGGGAATGGACTTCCTTTGTGCTTCAAGGATCATGTTCTTTAGGAACAACCACTCTTTTTTGCACACCTTTCACCTTAGGTTCCTGGTCCCACAGCACACGCCCTGCTACTGACCAAGGCTTGTTGAAATTTGCATTTTTTTTTGGACAGGGTTTTTCAAAAACTTTTTCATGGTGACAACTACGTTTTAATGCAAAGAATCTTGTCAATCAATTATCCTCTCTCAAGTTAACACACCACCTCTCCTTTCACTCAGTACAACATAACATCCATGTAACAACTACTGCAATTACTTACTTGGAAATGTAATGTTAGGAAAATATTTAACACATTAGCACTTCCATCGCCTTTTAGTGAACAAAAATAAGAAACCTGGACCCGAGGAGACTAGATGGTCACCTTGCTGGGGTCACCTGACCCCAGTCGTCTTTCCTGCCTGGTGCAGGGGGCCGGACCCAATGATTTTCCAAGGTCCCTTCCAGCCTTACAATCTACAAATCTATGCAGCCAGTCAGCTTGACACAAATTGCTGCTCTATATAAATCTTTGTTCTAGTCCTAAAGAACCCATCACATTTGTTTTTTAATTAAAAATACTTCTGTGTTCCATAGCACTGTTTAGACTGGAGGAACTAGAGATGTTCCTCTGAAAGCCAATTAACTTAATTCCTCATTTCCCAAAAGCAGAGTCAAGAGCACCAGCTATTACCCTAAACTCCTCCCGTGGCTACGACTTAAAAAACAGATTCAGGATTCAAGATCTTAAGCAAATGCTGTTGCCAGATTTCCAGGGTACCATCACAAGACTATTTGAGAAATGTGTTACAGAGATGTGTATTATTAAAGGGAAGAAAGGATATTTAAGTAAGGCCAGAGCCCTGTTCAGTAGTCCAGCCACCTTTATAGCCAGGAAGCCATGCATGGTGTCGTTAAAGAGCAATATAACCAGCCTTTTCTAGATTTCTGCATAACTGTGCTCCGGAAACTAAACTTTCTTTGAAAAATAATGACTCTTTAAGCCTTTGTGCTTGAGGGGGAAAAGGGAGAAAGCTTGGTGTAATGAGTCTGCAGACAACCTGAAATGACTCTAATAGACATGAACCCCACTCATCTCAATGAGGTTAAACAACGCTAACCTTTAAAGTATCCTCAAGGGATTTCAGACGCAATTATTTTCTTGCCAATCATTTCAGGAAATACGAAGCTAACATACTCCATCACTGTCAGGTATAGTGACAGCAAGAAGAACAAGGTCAACCAGGGGCAGGCTAGCTGCTATGAAAGTTTGCAAAGGCAGATAATGTGAACGTAAAATACTGGCCCCACCCCCATGTGACTTATAAAAAGTAGCAAGAGAGAGAAAAATGCATCTAATCACAGAATCAAATGCCTCAATCATCGTGTAGTTGCTAAAAACCAATACAGCCCTAGAGTTCTTAGAGCTGCCACATGCCTCAACTGTTCCTTTCTCAGAATCCATGACAATTTCTACAACATGGTTACACGTGTATTTGTTACAAGAAGCTGCAGCACAGTGAAAATCTGTGAGAGCACAAAGTGTAATTGATTAAGCCCTACCCTGTTTGGTCTGTAGTTAAGACCCACAGCTTGAAAAAGAAGAATCTAAATAGAAGCAGTCAAGGAGAACATAAAGTAATAATGAAGAGAAGGTTTGGGTAGTGCTACACAGTTCAGAGTACTCTGCCACATAATTTAAGTCCAACATACTGCACGAGACAAGAAGTCTTATTTACAATTTAGTGTCTCAAGAAAGCAAAAAAAAGGGGAAATGGGGAAGTCCTGACAAAATGATCAAAACTGTCTCATATCTTTTGCTTCTGAAGATAAAGTAGAATTATTTAAAGTAGAATTATTTGCAAAGATAGACGTTTAAGAGATAGAAGCAAATATCTGTTAGCTTTGCTTGGCTCCATACTAAAAATCACTACAAAAATCTGACATTCTGTTATTGGTTTATTTTTTTCCATGCTCGATTCAAAGCATTGCAAAAAGGGACCCCTTACAAATAAAAATTCAGCCCAATACAAAATAGTTAAAAACACATTTGAGTGGGAGAAGATGGTAGGTTCTTTGTTAGTCATTCATGTATGCCACTAAGTGAATTCCATTTCCGTAATCCCAAAAAACAATTTTCAGAATTCTGAATTTAATCCATACACACTTGAATACAGTGCAGGGATCCTTAGTGGTCATTAAATTGACACCAGATCTTCAGTATGTTTGGCAATTTGAAGGTGTGTGCTAACGGTATAAAGAATGATCTGTCATTAAAGACAACAAATTGCAGGCATGTAAAGTGGGGATGGAAAGTAATCACCTATTAAACTTCAAATCACTGCGATGTGACAAAGAGAAAATTGGACATCTGGGGAATTTACTATAGGTAGCTTGGTGATTTTTTAAAAATAAAACATAGACATTTACTTCAGTTACAGCACCAAGCTTCCTGAAGCTTAGGAAGAGTTTTACTCCTAGAACTTTTTCTTTTCTGAGTAATGAACTAGGAATTTTTGTAGCCAGGCCATTTGTCTTTGCAGTTACAAATTAGTTCATGCGTGTTGTCACAGGGCACTAAAGTGTGTCTGTACGTGTAAGGGCAGAAAGAGCCTAGCAAAGAAGCCTGGTAGACTATGCAGAGCTCCACAGCTGCAGGTTGCCCAAGCAACAAGCTAACAAGGTAATTACCTGGCACCTGCAGACATCTGACCAGAAGGAGCCAGAACCCAGGAAACACATAAGCCCAGGGCAAGGGCTGGCTGGGGTCATTCCCTCTGGCAATTGCCAGAAAGAGCTCCTGCATGAGAGAGCTGCCCGATGCATCTGGCTGTCTCCAAAGGCAGTAAGGCTTTAGGAGCTTGTACAGTACCCTGGGGTTAGGGGTACAATATCCTAAGGGTGGGAGTTTGCCTTTTTAAAGGGGCTGAGTACTGCCTTGACTGTTAGTATTATGTTATAGCCCAGAGACTTGTTTTTGCTATGGTTTGAACCGCTGGACCGGGATGAGGTAGCCTCCTTTGGGCACACTATCGTGTAGAGCCCCAACACCAGAGAGGCACAAGCTGTAGAGGGTTGGAGAGAGCCCAGCCCCAGAGGGGCACAGTAGACAAGGGCCAGGTGATAAGTGGAGATTGTGGGCTAGTGCCTCAAAGCTGGGCCCAACACAGTGGGTCTACACTAGAAGGCCTAACTATATCAAAGGGGCGGAGGCCGAGTGGGCCAAGGCTCCAAGAGTATGACAAAAGTGCAACACCAGTCAGGCACGGGGCTTGGTAAAGGGGAGGTTGGAGCCATGCAATTGGCCCATAAGGCCTGAGGTGCCCTGTGCAGCACCGTGTTCAAGCGAGCCCTGGCAAAGGGCCCACAGACCATGGAGTTCAAGTATGGTCCAGTGACCAGGACTAAGCAAAAGCCTGTGGGCAGCCTCCTGAGTTATTTTCCCAACAAAGACATGGCAGATGAGATAAAAGGGCACCCTCAGGGCAGAGCTTGCACGGTCAGAGTTGCCAGGGGCATCACTGCCATCCCTGGAGACCCACTCCATGACAGTGTTCTAAAGTTGGTTACAGTGTAACCAATGTTTCCAGGTGTTGGTCACCTGCAAGTCCACAGAAAGACATGAATTGAAAGGTTTGCTTAGGATTTGCTAAAAATATCCAAGAAAGGAAATAAATAAATAAATAATATCAATACTTTTGCTACTTTCAGTATGGCCTTTGTAGTCTGGGTATGAAATTATTGTTTCTCTGCTTTCTTTCAGAATTGTCCTGCTCAATCTGGTTTTAAAGTATATTGCAAAGAAAGGTATAGATTACAATTTTGCAGATTTTTTTCTGTTGTATTCACCTACTTCCAGGAAGCAAATGGCAGGATAAGCATAGAAAACATGTGCCTTCCTTTTTGTGTGTCCTTGTGTCAAAGTATTTAGCAGAACTCACAGATTTTGTTGGAATCCGACAGGCTGCGCTGAGTGCTTCTGCTATGGCCTTGAATTTGCGACCTCTTGGACTGCCAATCATGCACCTTAGTGCTCCTGTCACCCCAGCCCCCAGTAAATATATAACAACTCTGCTAATTTAGTTACAAATTGTAGGATTTTTATATTATATGGATTGGTATTCATTTGTTGCACAGAAGCAATGGTCAATCGCCCTGGAATAAGTAGCTTTGCCTTATCTTTAAATCATTGGTACTAGAGGCTATTGCATTTAGTCCTGTACCAACATAGGGGAAGCAAGAGCTCCCACCTTAAAAAATTACCATGCGTGTTCAGGGATATTGGTTGTACCGTGTTAGCCTAAGGGCATAGGCAGGCAAAACTCTTGGGGTAGAGGTGATACCTTTTATTAGACCAACTAGATAGTTGCAAAAATCTTTATTTGCAAGCTTTTGGGCCCAAATGCTCTTCATCAGACAAAGAAGAATTCGAAGACTAAAATTTCTCCCGGGTAAAAATGAAACTTCATATTGCACAGGAGAATTACAAGATGGTATGGTTCTCTCCTGGGCGGTAAAGTTTATTTGTATAAAAGCTGCTCTGTGCGTATGCAAATTAGGCTCGAAGAAGGGCTGGAGTGCCCCCTGGATTTTTGCATGGGGCGATGATGACGGACTGCTGTAGGCTCAGGGCCAGGAGCTGCTCTGACCCTCTTCCAAGCCGGGTGGGGCTGGGGCAGTGCTGCACTCGGGATGGGCATGGGCAGGGCAGGCAGAAGCAGCATTGAGAGAGGGCTATGGGGTCAGTACTGGGAATTTTGGGGTGGCTCTAGCCCACCCCGTAGCACTCTCTCCAAGCACCGCCACCGCCTACAGCCCTGGCCTGGACACCCTGCCAGGAAGAGGCTGGAGCAGCCCCCAGCCCGCCCTTGCCCCACACAAATCCAGGGAGAACATCCCCCCATGCCTCCTGCAGTGTTGAGGAGCTGCCTGCCCCCCACCCCGCACAAGCCACTCCTGGCTTCATCCCACAGCCTGCCATGGCTGGGCAGCACCTGCTCCAACCCCACTCCCTCCCTCACTGTGATTACCTTTATCTGCCCCTCCCCCATGCCTCCCCCCCCAAACTTACCAGCTCGACGCTGCCCTCCAAGCTGCGGGGTTTCATGTTGGCTATTGGATCAGTATTAGCCGATATAGCTGGTTAAGAATTGGCCGTTGGTACTGGCCAAAAAAATAGTTGTGTGTGCAACCCTACTGCAGATGGCATCATCGGGGACATTCTTGTTGTCACACGCCTACACTCATGCAGACCTCCTCCAGGCCATCGGATGGCTTGGTCTCTCACACAGCTCCTCTCCAGCCTCTAGCCCCTCAGTCCCTCACTCAGCCACTCTCTAGGTTGCCAGACCCCTCAGCCCCTCACTTGACTCCCCTCCAGGCTGCCAGATCCCTTGGTCCCTCATTCAGCCCCTTCTTGAGTCCCCAGACCTCTTGGCCTCTCAGCCAGCCCCTCCCTGGGCTGCGAGGCCCCTAAGTCTCACTTTTGACCCCCTCTCTAGGTCTCAAGACACTGCTGGTCCCTCTCTATTTCTGGCCCCTCACTGGGCCTCTGAACTCTTTCAGTCCCACTACACTATTCCTGACCCCTTGTTGGGCCAGTTCTGATCCCACTCTTTCCTGGCTCCTCGCTGGGCTGCTGGACCTTCTGGTTCTGGTCTTCCTCAGCCCCTGCCTGGGCTGCTGGACGATCTGGTCGTGGTCTTTCCTCAGCTCTTTCCCGAGCCTCCAGACCCACATGATCTTACTCTTCCCTGACCCCTCTCAGGGCCAATGGACCCACATGGTCCTGCTCTTCTCCAGCCCCTCGGACCATCTAAACCCTTACTTTCATTTTGGGGTACACACCGCTAGCCTTTCCCTGCAAAGGGGTCACCCACAATGCAATAGGAGCCGGGGTTTTAGGTCACTCCAAACTCGTCCTTCCCTGGGGTATGGCCCTGGTGGCACTTTCTAGGGGCTGCTCTGGTAAGAGCAGTCCCACCACAGTGACCCCAAACCCTAACAGGGTGCAGTTTTCAGTCATACCCAGGACTAATCTCTGGCCTTCCTGGTCTTGCTCCTGGGCCTTCTCTGGGCTCCAACCCCTGGATGTCATCTACCCCACCTGGGCTGTCAACCTCCGGGCGACCTGGCCCCAACTCAGCTTCACCTCCAGGCCCCCTGGCACCAGATCTCTTACATCTCTTTTTTTGAGCCCTCCTCAACGGGTCCAGCATCTGCCATCTTTATGCTGGGCCGCACACCCCTCAACCCCTTCCTCTTGCCTGTGGCTCACCATAGGCTTTCAGCCCCTCCTAGGCCCTGGCCCCACCTTGGGCCAGTCAAGAACTCTAGGCTTTCCTGGCTCTGGCAGTCTCTTTTGTGGTCTATTACAATGTTTTGGTCCTGGCTCTGCACAGGCCAGTTGAGACTCCATGGTTCAGTCCTCTGGCTGCCGGCCCCCTCTCCTATGGGTCCACCTTCAGGCCCCCTTCATAGATCTCTCCCTCCCTGGGCTCACCCAGAGCCTCCCATAAATCCTACAAACATAGCCCCTCTCTCTCTGAGGTTCACCTGGACTCTCCCCCTTATACTCTCAAACCCCGCTCTCTGGTTTCACCTGGCCCTACAATAGGCCCACATATTATCAGTCCCTCTGTCAGTGCTCACCTGGCTCCTCAATAGGCCCACAGACCCTGAGCCCCCTTCCCAGGGCTCTGGACCCCACACTGGGTCCCTAGGAACGTCCTCCATCCCCATAGTTCCTTCCTAAACCTCATGACTGCTTCAGATGTTGTGCTCCCTCCTAACCTCTTGAAGCCAAAGCTCTCTTGCTGAGGTGGTGGTCTCTGCAACGTCCAGATCTTACTACTGGGCTCCTCTCTGGGCTTGGGCTTATACTTGCTCCAAGCCCAGCCCTCCTCCTGACTCCCTCTAATCAGGCTTAGCCTCACCTGTGGCTCCCTGGGTCAGCTGACTCCCAATCAGCCCTAGCCCACATCTGCCTGAGGCTCTGCAGGCTACCTGACCTCTTAAAGTGGCAGGAACCCCAAGTGCCCTGCTACAGTCAGTGGTAATGAGCCCAGAGCTCTGGGACAAAGCTTGGTAAAAGAGAATTTTCAAAATTTTTTATGACTAAGTATCCTTCTTCCTCACCCCAGTAAGAGTTCTATTACTCTCCGAAACTATGCATAAACCAAATATAAGAGTTATTTTATCTTACAGCTTTTAGGCTACTTAAGTCTCTCCAGAAACAGACTATTTCAGTTTAGAGATAAGGTACTAAAATACATCACAAGTCCCTATTAGTTGATGTTACAGTGAAAATATTGCCACAGAAAACAAACAACATATGACTCTGGTCAAAAGCTGTCCACAGGCATGCAGTGGGGAACACCAAGAGGAAGACTTCTACATTCAGCAGATATTGATTTTTGGAATGTGATTATTCCTTAAAATTATTTTTATTACAGGAAAAAATCTTGGCTGACTATAACAAACTGTCATAGCTCCCCCACCCCCCAAATCAATAGCTAACTGTTTTCATAGCTTAACCTATCGCAAAGCATTTGAGAAAAAAGCATACCTTTTCTGGCCAGATTCCCAGGTGGAAGTATAACCTAGCTTGGAGCATTAGATGCTGCACATTGTCTGGATACATAGCCAGATATAGATCCAAAGAGTCCCTCAAGAGTTGGTAAGACTGATCAGTACTTTCTCTAGAAGCAAAAAATAAACTTAGTTTTAATGTTACAACCTAATTTCCTTTTATTACAAATGTACAGAGCTATTCATCAATACAGACAATATAAAGTACCATCCAACTGCATTGACTCTAGGGATTTATTACTAATACCATCCACTAACCCACTGGGGAGGACTGCACTAGACAGTACCCTTTCAAACTCTATTCCTTTTCATTAAAAAAAAGTATAAAATTTGAGTTTTGGTGTTCCCTCTGAGAGCTCATTAAGTTACAAATTTGCTTGCCCTTAATGCATCTTTGGTCATCTTGTTTATTATAAATGATCTGTAGCAATTATTTTTGCCTGTGCATTTTGGCCTCTTACAACGAGCATCATTTTAGCAATGTGAAGGTACACAAAGAGAAAAAGGATCATAGGTGCACTGGTGACAGACCTACTGTGATCACAGCAAAATGATTGTGTGAGATGCACCAGTTCATAAAGAAAATCCTACTTCTTTAGGAGATAATGGAAGCTTCTTAAGATCCCTACCAATATGTCCCAAAAAGAAAAAAAAAATCTCTGTTCATTTGCTTATTTGAAAAGAATTTTGCCCAGTATTTTTTCTAACCAGAAATATTCTTGGAGTGATGAAAAGGTCATGAAACAAAAATGATGGTCAGAAGTATCAAGTAAATAAATGGCAAAGTTAACATACCCCACAAAGCCACTTGCTCATGGCTGCCATAAAGAATCAAAGATCAAAGTAGTGTGATTTGCTCCTCATTTACTTAAGGCTTTAAATTCTGCATAATACTTAGAATTAAGTCTTACCGCTTTCCAAGGTTTAAGAGGTTTCCCACCATACGCTGCAAGACCTCTTTTGAAGTCACCACTCCATAAAACTCCTCAGTCACATGGTGGCCAATAAGGTACTCACATTCTTTCACAGTGAGCTGCTTTCCCTTTCCAAAGGCATCTATGTAAGTATAGTCAAAGATATCTGTGCTTCTAATTAAACAAAGAAATAAAATGGAAATGATGAATGTTGCAAGCTAAATAACAATATAGATTTCCGTCTTCTTCACAGACCTATTGCTACAGTCTGAGTTTAAAGTAAACAGTATCAGAGCTTCAGGTTCTTTGTGACAGGGGCTAGAGTTAATTTCTTCTTATCTGCTCTCTTTCAACATATACGCTGAAAAGTTGAATAGCGTATCAATTTATCAGTTGTGCCATTTCTTTCCTTAAAAAAGAGCTATCTCCAGGGGTGCTTCACCAGTGCTCGGATATTTTACAAAGCTATGCTTGGTTAACCAGAGAGTACAATACAATAGAAACCGCTGCAGCACGGACTATCTATATTAGTCAAATTCCCATGAGAGGTATATGTAACCAAGTTCATTTTATTAAATGATATCACTACAGTTTCCCCTGAATTTTGTACTTCTGGGAATAAAACCACTGCCAACAGTCAATCCAATGTGATTTGATGGGTTACCAACACTGATTCAGAAGGGAGGTAGGTACAGGGTACAATATAATACATTTCTAACAGCTGCACTGCCTGCAGTATTAAATGAAACTAAGTTAAAATAGCCATAATGAAAAGCCAAAAAAAACCTGCTAGTAACTACTGCTGTATGTCACTCGCAAGAAGTCTTTCACCGTTCAATTAGCTGCAGAGCTATTCTCAGAGCTCTGAGTGAATTCACTTTTTAAGTTTCCAACAGATTAATTTGATTGCTTAGGTCTAAATGGGACAAGATGCTCCTGCATGTATTAGTGACCTCAGAAAATGTTTCTTGTTTTACCATTAAAGTAACTATTGTCTAACTGTAATAGAAGAAAGGGTTAAATACTGTAGTTACTCGAATACAAGATGATCCCCCCCATAATCAGATTCTCTCTATAAAAAACTGTATTATAGTTTTCCAGGTAGAGAATCGATTAATTGGAAGTTTGCCTTAAATTTGCCCCCCCTCCCACTGCTACAGCAGGAAAAACAAATGTGAAGTATTAGATGCCCAAAAACTTGTATGCAGATGAGGCACAGGGCAACCTAGTCCAGCTCCAATCTCCACTTTTCCAGTGCCACAGACAAGGTCATATTATGTTGCAATAATAGAAAAAATTATAATGGTCATAGCAAGACACAAGACGTACAAATTGTTTATGGCCTTCACTATTCAGAAGTGAACTAGAACTAAACGTAACTCACCCTTCTTTTCCTTGACGCCATCTCAAAAGGAAATGACTAGGAAAGTTGACTGGCTCAAGTTTGACACCCAACTGCCTGGCAATTGTTAAATAGAGAATAGATAAACTGATTGGGATTCCAGTCCTGCGGATCAAAACCTGAAAAGTAAGACTTGAATCAAAAAGGAGGCTTAAAAATCCTAATCAGCGTGTTAAAAAAAAAAAAAAAAAAAAAAAAAAGCGCAACTCACACCATGCCTCAAAATCCACCAGCAGATGCACAAAAAAGTTACTATACTAGAGAGTGTACCCAAATCTCCCCTTTGGGATGCAGGTGCAAACATTTTAATTCTACTTACTTATTCAACTACATTGATGCAAATATGACAAAATAAGTAGAATTCCCTCAACTGTGTATTTGAGCAGCTTCAAAATCTGCTTCACTATACACCCATTTACCTGGTGAATATATGAGTTCAGAGAGTTGTAGTAGTCCATCTCATTTCCTTTGTATTTTAATTGTTCATACAGGACACAGTTCATAGCATCAAGTACCTGCCTTTGAAGCTCCACTTCAGGAATCACTAAGACCTCTCCTAAAACATATAATTAAGAAAAACAGTTTACCTAAGTAACAGCAGAGGCAGTTAGTGATATCAGCAGTCTTTAAGGTGCCACACTGCACTAACTGGTTCAGAAAAGTATGAGCTTTCATAGGCAACAGTCTACTTGAAAGGTCTGTGCCTCTCTGAACCACTTAGTTTCTAAAGGTGCCATTCTGCCCTACCTTCCCCCTAAGTGACAGTAAAAATAAATGGGTTGGTCACTTCTTGAAAGGGAACAAACATTAAAGAAAACTTTTCAAGGTTTGTAAGACAGGCTCCTTTCCCTTGGATTTTAGGAGCTACTCAAGTATGTGGACTGGCTGTTGATGACTTCATAAGTTCTGCAAGGAAGAGGAGGATGCCTTCAAAGCCAATACTCTCCCTAGTTCTATGGTAGGACTACTAAAAAGAAGAGTTGAACCAAATACCATATTCGCAGTGTACAAGTCGATGCAGTATATAAGCCCACCCCATTTTTCTGATTCAAAAGTTAGCATTTTCGTAGATCCGGTGTATAATTCGACCTAACCTTTTGAATTGGAAATATGGGGCCAAGACACAGGGTCCCTGCATGCTGTCACTGCAGGCAGGACATCTGAGGGATGGAAACGTGCAAGACCAGCGCTACTCACCAGGGCCGGGACCAGGCTCAGCGTTTGGCTGCCAGGGCCCCAGCCCCTATGAGCGGTGCAACAGAGGTGGGCCAGGCAGGCTGCACTCCTTGCCACCGCACACTGTGGGGCAACAGCGCCTGCGTGGGCCTACTGCCTGCCTTGTTCCCAACACCCCTCACCTTTCCTCACACCCTAAACACCCACATCCTCCCCCCACACCCTGCCCACCTGAGTTCCACACTCCTGCCACCCCATTGAGCATGGGCTTTGCGCTCCCACCAGTCTCAGCCCCATGCTCTGTGCTGCAGCTCCCCCATCCCTGCCGCTTCTCTACCTGATGCCCTGAGCACTACAGCAAGGAGACTAGGAGCTGCTGGATGCCAGGGAAGCAGAATACTGCCAAGCTGGGCCCTAGATAAGGTGTATAAATCGAGGTGGAAATTTAAGGGTCAATATTTAGGCTTCAAACCTTGACTTATGCACTGTGAAATCCAGTAAGTCTATTCACTCAAATAAAAAACTGCAGATTTACAGTGTCACTTAAGAAGGCCCAACTAAAACAAGTATTTCTATACAGTACCTGCCTTTGAAGCCAAGCTTGGATGTCTAGGGTTTTTTGTCCGAAGGTCTTTGCGAACTTTATCCGTGATATCATCCACTTGGGTCTGGACACCTTTCAGACAGATGTCTGATAGTGGATTACAGTACTGATCAATTAAGACAGCACCTGGAAAAAACATTTTTTTTTTTTTTTAAATAAAAGATTTCCATTTTTTTTTTTTTTTTTTACTTATTTAATTGTATATGCCTAATTTCAATATTGTAAGTGATTTTGGTTAAGTGTAAGGATTCCTTTTAACATTTTCTTTGGTTCTGAAAAAGTCATGCATAAATGCAGAAAACAATGAGATGCCAATAGAAATGTTACAGGTCTTTTTATTTAAAAGAAGCAACACAATTGTTGTAACATCTCAGACTGACTTTCAGATCTCAAGCACACGGCCTCCTGCTTTCCCTAAGCACAATATGTTCCCCCCACTGGGTTGAAAATATAAGTAATGAAATAAGAGGCAGAAGAGAGAAGCCTAAAGATTAGGTCTGCAATAAGCCATTTCTTTTCTTTGAATATCTACAGCAGCTTCTTCTCGCATCGTACCTAACTATACCTACTCCTCTTTTAGACCACACAGTCTCAATCTCACTTCTGCTTCCGTTCCACTCTTGCTCATCCCAAAATCCTTCTCCTTATTTCTTTGTTCATCTACTCGTACCACTCTTAGCAGTCTTCATCTAGTATGTCCACTACACCGGAACAATTTTTTGGAACTTTTTTTTTGGTCCAAGTGTCCTCTATATATCAAACCCTATCATAAAAAAACCCACTTCTTCCAAGAGTTCTTTGTTGTCTTGTCTTTCTAAAACCTCCCTATGACTCAACTTACTGAGGCGGTTATACTCAAGTCTAAGATCTCTGAAAAAGGGACAAATACTGTTTTTCCTTGTTCCATAAAATGCCACAAGGTAGGTTTAGGTTTGTGGCTGGAACGGGAAGTGTGACTATGGGCAATCATACCTACACTAGATACTAGGTAAGAGTACTCAAGATGCAACAGCTTTGGCTTCAGATCGGGCTGGTTAACTGAGTAAAAGCTCATGGCAGGCTTATAGTCAGGTGACTAACTCAGAGTAAAGGCCCATGCTGCCATTTTTTAACTAATGCTGCTGTCTATGTTAAATTATATTAAAATTTGCATGGATCCATCTAGCAACTGTACTGCAGACACTCTGGTATCTTTACAACTCGCTATGTTAAAAGTACATAATGAAGATGACCGCTTAATATCCATTCCAGAGCACTACCTAGAAAGGCCACAAAGTAGCACCCTTTGTATTTCCTTTCACAACATGCTGCCTTCTCTGATACCTACTGACACAATTAGATTTGTGTACGATAAAAGCAAAGTAAGTTCTAGAACATTTTTTAATTCTCAATTTCCTGCAGTTTTAAGGTACACATCAAAACCAACTGCTTCTTCCACAAACCTTGGGAGAACTCTATATATTCTGCAATCTAAACCTATTCTCTCCAGAGTAAGGTAGTTGTCCACCAGTACCACTTAAACTCTACATTTTCCAGGGCAAGAATTATACAAAAGATGCTTTACCTCTAAAATGTTTGGCACCTTTTAAAAAAGTATACCGAGTGCAAAAGCAAAAGTAATTATGACTCCTCAAGGTTTTCTACCAGTTTGCTACATATAAATTCTCTAAAATATGCTGCTAAGAGGAGTACTGAAGTAGATCGTTGTGAGACCAGATAAATATTGATATTTCTCCAGTCTCACAGCACAGCATGAGTGCTTCTCAAGATGACAGTAGTGAACAAACATTTTTTTGAAAGATGAGATTGTCTGAATATTTAAAGAAATATCTTTGGAAAGGTATCATCATGAGGAACTAAACTAGAAGATAGTTAATAAAAATAGATATTATTTGTATGTAGAAAGAGCTTAAAGAATACACAACCTGTCTAAATCAAGGATGGATCCTTATTTTCAAAGGAGCCAATAATTATCCTTGACCATTATTTTCCATGTTCAAAGATGAATTCTTATTTTCTTATTCAAATAGACACGGCCTGAAACATCTGCTTTAACACCAACATTTAAGGACAAAGTGAAAATACCAGTATAAATATAAAAATATCAGTATTTTATCTGTAAACAGCAAAGGGAGCCATAATTCTCATTAACTGGGCAAAGAACATGCATTTTATTACAATATAGCAGGTATACACAGAAAATAGGGTCCCAAAATTTAGACACAGCATATCACAACACAGATATAATACTTCTTCAAATGAGAGAAGCTAAAGGGACAATAGCCTTCTTCTATCAGCATAGCTGGGTCTACACAAGGATTTTAACCAGCACAGTTATATCAGTTGGGGAGTGATCTATTCACATATCTAGCTGGAACTGCCATGCTGGAAGAACTGTGTAGTATTGACTTGGTCACAGTCTTGCATCAACTCTTTTAGAAGTGCCAGGTGCAAGTGGAACATACCTAGGAAACAGAGGGAAGGGGAATGAGGGAGAAATGTATATAAAAATGTAACCTTTGAATTTCTCAAATTTCTCTTTTCATGCTGTGATGGTAGTGGAAAGGCAATATAAAAAAGTTATGTCATTCAGGAGGAGGTGGGTGGGTATTTTTAAATTTCTGCACCAGCTCAAATACTTGTTAGATTGTGGAAACTTTAAGACATTACATTTTTGAGGAACCTAAGCATCAATTTAATCGTTTATCTCAATTCCCCAAGTACATTTAAAAATGTACTTGAGTTTGAACATTTTCTAAGGCCTTTATTGAATATGGATGAATTCAAGCACGCATTTAAATAATGTCTCATTGAGCCAGAGTCCTATAATCACCTTCCAAAAATGACTGCTGGTCCACAGGCCGTTGAAGATATTCCTTCAGGTTTTTTAAAATATTCTGCTGTCGTAGAAAGTATAGAATTTTTTTTGCATAGTATTTCCAGGTAAGACCCTTCCTGCAGAAATATAAGAAATAGTACTGAAAGCCACACAAGCACATTAAGTACAAATATTCAGTCTGATTCTCTCAGTTCATAGGGATTTGAAATTTAGACCAATGTAATGAAAACATGCCCTGCCCACTCGCTCCCAATCTGTGCATGCCAAATGCCAAAAAAATGCATTGCAGATGCTCTTTGTCACGCATCCAGAATTGCTTCCTGGCTTGGGTAGCTTACTGACATGCACCCTGCACTCCTCCAATTGTGGCTAGGTTACATTTTTTCAACTTTTGGCATAAGTGGAGTGGAAGCAGAAGGTGTTTTCACGGCACTTCTTCCTAACACAACTTAGTTGGACAGTGTGTCAACAAGTCCTTTGTTTTGTGAAGGACAAGTGTGATATCGTAACAAGAGCCACGAGAGCAAGGCAGAGATGTATCTGGGGTGCTGGTTGTAGCAGTGTTGATCTAAGGATAAAAAGGCAAAGATGTAAACATTTAGGGCAAACTCATAGGCAGCAATACTTTTCATGCCACTTAACAAAAGTTTCAAAATATTGTGATAATGACAGTCAAGGCAGCTATAATGTCAGAGATTTCCATGGAATGTCTGTTTAAAACCAAATATTTTCTTTACAGATCACTCACTATCTTCCCTTTGACTCCCTACAGAATACAAACTCTTAAAATAAAATATCCTCAAAGATTTCAACAGAAAAACACAAGAGAGGTGGGAAAGGGGCAAAAGTCCTCAGGCAAAGTATCCTGAAATAAGTATTTTGAGAGATGGGTTATGAAGAGATTGTCAGGTAGACAACATAGCACAGAGCTCAAAACACAACAGCCTGCCACAGTAAAGGCTCCATCAGGTGAGACTGAAGGTTGTCATTTTGAATATAATTAGGGCATACATAGTTGAAGACCTTAAAAGCCAACAGTCCCAGTTTTACAGACATGCCAGCCATACCTAACAGCAGGGGTTTTCAACCTTTTTTGAAGGAGTGTACCCCTTCTGGGTACAGTTCTGGGGGGGGGGGGGGGGGGGAAGGGAGGGGGAAACTTGCATGTGGTGGCATCGGATGGTAGATGGCCAGGGTGGCCGCTGCATGCAAGCCCCACCCCCTCCAATTTGGGCAGCGCCTGTGCGGCCCACAGAGGGGAGCCACTACCCTCGCGTCCCCCCAACCCTGCTCCTGGGAGAAGGCAGCACAGGGTGGTGGATGACGGCACTCATGCCGCCCATGTGTACCCCCTGGCCCTTTCCAAGTATCCCCAGGGGTACACATACCCCCGGTTGACAACCCCTGCCAAACAGGGTCAACACTGGCCTTTAGCACTTTACTACCAAATGCATCCACTGGCCTCTTCAATTCCAGAGAACTTAAATGGACAGGTCCCAAACCCAGAGCATCAAGGCAGATTTCCATTTATTTTCACCACAATTTTATATCACACCCTATTGCTTCTATTTAGAACGCATTTGAATTGTTTCTCTGAAAATAATTCCTTCTCCTTGCTTTTCTTTTTCCCCAAATCACAAACCAAACAAGTCTTCTTCATCCTGCCGAATGGATAAACAATCAAATCTCATAATGTTACTGCCCTTTAATTACTCAGGACACTCAATAGGGACAGCTGCTTTTTGGAACATCTTCCAGGGAAGTGATTTAGCCTAATGATACTGAATGGCAATGACTACAGCTTAATCAGAGTATAATTAGCATAAATTCTACTTTATAAGGATGCATTTGGCTAAGCCAAGGGCTTGAATGGTGCTTAACCAGCTCCTAATGTGCAATGTTTAGCCCCAGTTTTAATACAGGAGTTACACAATGAATGTGGGAAAAAAAAAGAAATTATATGAATATTTTCATTCTGGATTATACTTTTTCATACTCTAACAGCACCTTAAGTAGGGACAAGAGGCTACTGGGCTGTATTAAGAGAACTCTATTCTTGTTCCAAATAAAAAAAATCTATTTTTATATGCCATTGTCAAACAGACACTGAGACAGTCTTATTTCAGTGACAATGGTCACCACCTCACCTCTACCAAGATTAACAGTGGCAACCAAAATTTATGCAGACAAGAGCCATGTATGTTGGCTTGACCTCCACATTATGCTTTACCAAATAAGCCTGCATCTGAATAATAACTATACAAGTCAATCAAGCTCATTTCAGGAGAAAAGCTTCGAAGCTATACCACCTTCAAAGACATTTAAAGAAAGCCAACAAAAAGCAGTATAAGCAAACTGAGGCCAAAAGCCAAGTTCACTGGAGAGCGTTATAAATGGTTTCCCATCAGGAAAATATTGCCCAAAGAAGAATGCATTGCATTTAAAAGCTTGTTTAAGTTTATCCCAACTATGCTGTTTACTCAATAAAAGATACCTATCACCCACAAAAATCCTTTCCCATTGCTATTAAGTTTATTATGAAGTTACAGACCGCCACTACCTGAGGGATAGAAAGATGACTATCAAGAAAAGCTTCCTAAGATTGAGCCCTTACTCTGTGAAGAAGAATGGACGAGTGATGAAGGTGCTCACTTGGAAATCTGGAGGGCCAGTTTCAATTCCCTGCTCTGCCACTGACATTCGGTGCAACCCTAAGCAAGCCACGTGGACTCTTTCTGTGGCACCCATGGTGGGCTCGACCAAGTGACTTGTACTCTGCAGTTCTTCTAACACCATCCATACTAACTCTAGGTTACTATAAGGGACATGGAAGGTATGAATTAGGTCTCAAATTTTTTTTCATGAAGGAAGTAAAAGGACATGGAGTCAGGACTATAGGATTCCCCAGCACCCAGCAAGAAGGTAATAAATATTTTCTTTCTACCTGCTTTGATACTAAGCTCACCTTCCTTCCATATTAAGGATAGACATCAGCTCATCCTCAAAAAAATGACTTGGACATCCAAGAGTTTCAATGTCACTGAAGCCATCACAGGGGACCTGGCAAACAGAACACCATGTTATAAGCTACAGTGGAGTTTTCTTTATCAAATAAAAACAGGTGATTTCACAACAGCCTCAAGAGCTCAATTTAGCACTTTGCTTATAACAGTGAAATTGAACCGAAATTGGATTTTCAACACCTGGCAGCTGTGAGTTCCCACTGAAGGGCTCTCAACTGTGTGGCTACTTCTCTTTGAAAAAAATCAAAGAGATGCTTTGTTGTCTTGCAGCTTTGATGAAAAGATCAACCGATTAAACCGTAAAGACTGTGCAAATAACTGATTTTTTTTTTTTGCTTCAGCAGCCAAAAAAGAAACAACTAAAAAATAAATCTTGTGTACAGTTAAAGAATCCCTCCCTTTCCCTTGAAATTTTATGGAACTAAGAAAAACATTTGTAACAGTTCAACTGAAATGAATCATTTTGATTTTAGGCATCTTGAATACAAGCCAAGAGCTAGTTTCACAAAATGGACCATGAATTTTGCCTCAAATTTCTAATTGAACCAAAAATGTTTATGACATTTAGCCTGAATTCATTAATCATTTCATGTTGGCCACATTTCCATTTTTCAACAAATAAACCTTTGGCCAAAAAAAAAAATCTAGGTCTGAAAATGAACTGCCAAGGGACCTAGTAAATATGGAATACAGTAGCAACTCCACACACAACTAAATCATAGAGGTGCACCAATACATCGGTCCCATATCAGATCAGCACCGATATAAGGAAAATTGACTGTATTGGCAATTAGCTTTTTTGGCTGATGTGGCCAATAATGTGGCTGATAAATGCTGCATGTGTGCGCACAGCTGCAGTGCAGCATGCAGGCAGCCAGGACGGCAGCCGGGTCAGGCTAGTCAGTCTGTTGTGGGGGAAGGGGCAGGGGGAGGGAAGACCAAGGTCCCCACGGTGAGGGAGGGAATGGGGCAGGGGCTGCTCAACCAGGACAGGGCACAGGACTGAGCCGTGCACAAGGCGTGTGGCTTCCAACACTGCATTCACCCCCAGGGGATGTATGGGGGGCATGTGCCCCTGGATCAGTGCACAGGGCAAGGGCGCTGCAGGCTGAGGCTGTGCCAGGCTGTTCCTGGCAGGGGTGTTGGGCTGGGCTGCGCTTAGGGCAGGCGGCAACAGTGCTGGAAAGAGACATGGGGGAGACGGGGGTGGGCTACAGTGAATTTTGGAGTGGCTGCAGCTCCTCTCATAGCCCCCACATCCAGAATCACCACCACCTGCCCCAGCCCACCACTGGGAAGAGCCCAGCACAGCTTCAGCCCCACTCCACCGTGGCAGCCCGCCCTCACCCCGTGTGCAGATCCAGGGGCATATGCCCCCCATGC